AAATTAGTTTTATTGATCATACATATGAAATAATATTAAATAAAATTGAATATTACATATAAAATAAACTATATTGTTCAATATTTTTTAATATGGTCATACAACTAATTGTTCATATATATTAAAAAAGAAATATCTTCAACTCTAAATTAAAATACTAAAAGTATGACTGAGATGTTCATTACATTACTAAAAAGAAACAATGTTTAATTTTGTTCTTTATTACATTTCTCATTGTTTGACATACTTGCTTTATCATATACCTACAATATAACAGAATATACCTACAATATAACAGAATATACAGGTCTATAATACAACAAGATAGCAAATAAATCAAAATAAAATAGATCTAGCCACTATAATCCTCACTCGAACTGGTGATACATTGCAAACAAGCCAATATGGAAGACCGAATTCCTTTTCTTAACATCAATTTGGCAGCTGAGAAGCTAACAGGATGGACATCTCCATCCTCCCAGGAGAACCTTCATAGCCATTCTTTATAATTTTCATGAACTCCCCTTTTACTGAATCAATGTCCAGGCTCTGTTTTCTCACTACCAACATATTATGTAGGGTTAGGGTCACAAAATCCTTGAGTAACCTCTAGCTGCAGCAAACAAAGCTATATGAGGAAATGACAACAAAATTCACTTTTGATTGATTCATGATTATGGGTGAGGTTTCCAAAAGTAACATTAAAATTAACAGCAACAGAGGACATTTTTACAACATAAATATTTATGCCAAGCCCATAAAAGTGACCTTAATATAGTTATGGTTTAAATGGAAAACATCATGTCTCGTAAAAGAAAAATATTTACAAATAAATAGTGAAGCATCACCAGTGTGATTATAATGAATGGTATGGATCATAGTCACTTCTAAAGTAAAAGTGAATGAAATTATATGAGAAACCAAATTTACCATTTGAGCTACTTACATGCAGAAGAAGAGACTTATTTAAATGGGAGCATCAACCTCAATTATGGTTATCCACGAAGAAAAGAGTAATTTGATACATAGTGCATTATGATTAAGTCGCTAAGGATAAAATATAAATAACACAGGTAAGAAACATGCATACCAAAAAGAGATCTAGGTTAAGCAATACAACATACACTTGCCGCATTATGTCCAAGAATAGAGTTAGTCCTGATAGGGCGAGCCTTTACCCTTGCATAACCAAGTACAATACAAGATCAAAGTTACATAGTTTGTTTGGGAGAAAATATTATGAATTGTTGTTTTTAGCTTTGAATTTCTTTTACTAATATACTTTATATCATACAGAAGAATATAAGTTGTCATAAGTGTATTTCTTCACCATACAACAAGTGAAGGTAGTGTAAACTACAGGTTGATAGTCTAGAGTGTTATGTTGATTTTAACTAAATTTATTATTATTTAAATGTTTCAGTAAGTATTTTATTCTTTTTAATATATAATCCACATAAATTTTGCATAATTTGAAGCATTAAACTATGATAGATATAACGTATGTAACGTTGTTGTCAGTTTTAAAATAGCTTTAAAATCCCAAAATTTCATAGACAAATAATTTATATATTAAGAGAGAAATTGAAATAAGTAATTTATACTATGAAAATAACAAAGATAATAATTAATGAGTAATTACTTAAAATAATTAATTGAATGATAAAAACCAACACTATTATAGATGAATTAAAAACAAAATTATTTTAATTTAATTAGATATGTAGAGTTCTCT